GTTTAGAGAACTGTGAAGTACTCATCCATGCTGATTTTTGAATCTGCTGTGTAAATAGAAGAACTTCGTTATCCACTTCAGTCGCTGAGTTTAGATCAGAGTTAAGATTAAGACTGTTTTCAAGATGCAGCCTAAAGTAATCCCAGTCAATAGATCTATTTATTAGGTAAGGCTTCGGTTCATTTATGACTACACTTTTATTAATAGAGAGGTGCACAGGTGAATGATCAGAAGAGAGATCATATCCATTTTGTATTTGTAAGAGTTCTTTCGGTATCTTTTTAGTTATAAAAAAGTCAATCAGATCCGGTATTTTTGCTAGGTCATTTGGCCAATATGTTGGGCTTCCAGTTGATAAGACATCACATCCTGTGGCTTGTATTGTAAGGATGGAAATTTTGTAATAATTTCCAACCTACATAAATAACATACACACATCTACACAGCGTTTAGCCCAAATTAATTGTTGAATTATTGTACACGGAAAAATAGAAATCTCTGAAATAAATGAATAAAAATTAAAGAAATGAATTTTGTTTTGAAATCTAATAAATATCTTGTTTTAAATTGGCCTTTGCACGAAAAATTTTAACAATAGCTGCTCACATTGCGCACTACGGTAAAACGTGGAACTAGGGTAAGAGAAATGCAAATATGAACAAAAAAATATATTCAGTTAATATAGAAATACACACCTGCAGATGTATTACCACAACTTTTAATCCAAATTATTAAGAATTTATTACGATTGAACTATTAATTTATTATTAAAAATTATTAACAAATTGTTTTTAATAAAAACAAGAAATACCGCACGAAAAGTTACGAGAATTATCAAATCAAAACATAACAAACAAATATCAAAAACGTCAGAATGCAATTCGCTGCAAAAAGATGCACAAGGAAGCTTTTGCGCAAAAGTGTTAAAGTGCATTAAGTTCAACTAAGATCAACTCAAAGCTTTGTTACTTTACACAAAAAGTTCAAGAGTATTCGTATAAAAGACGGCGCAATTTTCTAAGAATTTAGTGAGTCTTGTACGACCACTCGGTGGCGTTGTATGTCAACATATAAAATAAATAAATATAAAAAAATTGTCTGACACAGTGGCGGTTTTAAGCCTAGTTGTATAAATTACTTAAATATATATATAATTGTGTACCATCGCCTGGGCGGTTTTAAGTCAAGACACTTGGACACTATTGTATAAATATTCCATAACCGAACAAGAAAATATATTTTTTTTTTATATGTACACTAACCCTTCTGTCCCTAACAGGTGCACCGAGAGTGGACAATCATACGAAGGTGCCAACAACGAAAACAAACTAGAGATCATCGCGAACGCCAAAGAAACAATTACCGGATCCAGCTTGTCACCTGGGAAAGAATCTAAAGTTCATATCTACTTATCTTTAACTAACTTTTGTTTTTTTTTTAAATACGATTATAAAGAAATCATAATATTTTATTAAAATCCACTTTGAAATACATAATCAATGTCAAGTTATATCTAATTGCGTTTAATTAAATTCATTTTTTTTAATTACTATTTTAATGAATTAATTTTATTTTAAATAAATCTACATTTAAAATTAAACACACAATCTTTTATTTGAGAAGTCCTGTCTCCGCGATTATAAATTTATTGTAGCGACCCCCTGGAAAAGCCTGAGGATACCCCAGCATAAATTTTAACGAACCGGGAAATCCGTGTCGTTACAGTATGGCTTTTAATAGTTCTCGACCCTTAGTTGTAGTTAATCGCGAACCCCAATGGACATGTTTAGCGTTGAAATCGCCGCCAATAATGAATTTATTTTTAAATTTAGAAAGGACGTTTATATATTGATCTGTACTAATAGAATGTCTTGGAGGACTGTAGACCGAAATAATTGATAATTTTTGATTTTGTACTTTTATTGTAATAGTTGTGGCTTGAAACTCGCTACAGCTGATATTTTCCTCTTCATAGTGACTGATGGTTTCCTTTATTATAGTAGCACTTCCCCCTCGTGCATTGTTATTCGGGTGAGTAGTGTGGTAAGTTTCATAATCTCTAAATTTTATATGTGATTCCCTCGTAAAGTGCGTTTCTGCTATTAGACATATATCGATGGACTTTTTGTAAAGAATAGTCTGTAGTTCGTTTTGTTGATGTAGCAGCCCATTTGCGTTCCAGAGCATAACTTTTATTGAAGACTGCATTACATATGGTATTTGGGAAGGATCTGTTCTAGTTTACTTATCCGTTCATTTAAAACTTTATTAAATTTTTCCTGGTTTTGTAGCAGTTGAAGTACCAACTACAAGGTTGAAGAAATTTCTCCAGGGTTTTGAGAGTTATTATTTGATTTTAGTGCTTGGGCATATGAAGGTGTTTCATAATTTTGTGTTAGTTTAGAAACTGGCAAAATTTTTATATATTCAGTGGCAGCAGAGTTGGATTTATCTGGCTTACTACTTTGGTTATCTTTCTGAACGGTTTTGTTTCGCATCTTTTGTAGCTCTTTGGCTACAATACATCCGCGATAGTTAGCTGGATGAGATTTGCCACAATTGCAGCATTTTGGTAAAGTTTCTGCTGGTTTTGTATAGCTCGTTGTTGGATGCTTTCCCGTACATTTGACACATCTTGCCAGTTTTGAACAGTACTTCCTTGTGTGACCAAAAGTTTGACAATTTTTACACTGAGGTATTTGGTTTGGTCTTTTTACTGCTTCAATGGAGACAATAGTAGCTAATATTTTATTTATTCCGTAAACCTTTTTAATGTCTTCAATAGACTCAAAGGTGAGCAGAAACATATCTAACAGCTCCTTTGTTTTCCATTTAAATTTCCGATCTGCACTTATGGCTTTGAGCCCTTGTCTCTGTAAGTCCTCGACAATAAGTTTAGGTTCACAGGAGTGATGCAGGTTTTTAACAATAACACGAATAGGTCTTGTTTGTTTATCTTCATATCGTACCAATCTATCTTAGCATTAGACAGCAGCTTTGTTATGCTTCTGTAGTCATCTGCTTCCCTTAACAAATTTGTAAACATATAATAAGTACATTATGAATATTTTATAATTTTTAATGTGAATCTAAATTTGGTGCAATATCGACCGCTGGATATGTAACATTGTGTGCCACAATGTTCTTCATAGGGGGAAGGAATGTTGTGAGTTAAATATTTGTTTTATTTAATATCACGGGTTTTGGCAGTTCTACCGTAATGTAGTGTGTACGATCTTAGGTGATCGTACATTTTCCTAAAAGTAGGCAAGGTGGTTTACATGTGGGCGATTGTTGACCAGAACCAAAACAGCAGTTCGTCAGTTCGACGATAAAAATTGATGATTTTGGTATTTGGTTAATAATTGGTGTCGTGATGTAAGTGACTTTGAAAAAATATTAAATGCGGAAGAATTGCGAAAATATGAAGGGCATTCTTGTAACAATAAACACTTTGCGAATTTAGCAAAAGCTAAAAAGCTATGAAATTATGTAAAAAAACCTAATCGGGTAATTGGGGCATTTCTAAGGTCAGGTATTGCATTAAATTTGGGTATATAAAATAGAATTAAAAACACTAAAGCTGGAGTTGGTGTGTTGTGACAGAGACGCTGGTGCGTAAGTTCATTGTGTGACTTCTGTGAGTTCGGTTAGTCAGCCAGTACTGTCGATAAAAAAATTACTAAGTTAATTACTATTAAATAACAACTAAATTTATAAAATTTTGGTCCTGAAGGGACACAACTATGTGGTTATATTAAATTCGTAATAAAGTTAGAGTACAATGACTGTGTGGAGTTTTTGAACCATGAATAAATAAAAACTAAATAAAAGCAATATAATTGTTTTTTAAATAAAACATATTTAAAATTGTATTTAAAAATTAATGCAAACTTCTGTGAGAGTTATCAATATAAATTTAAATATATATATATATCAATATAAATTAAATATATATATATATATATGTGTGTGCAATTCATTTCTCTAATAAATGGAATTACACAAAAATTTATCAACAACAATATAAAGTGTTTTACTTGAATGAAATATTGTGGAACACACAAAAATTTGGCAAGGGGATTGTTTCATTATATGTGGAAGAAAAGAAGTCACAACAAGCATCAGTTCTAAACACATGAATAACGTCGCTACATCAAGCTTGTCAACAAATGAAACCAAACGCATCATGTGCGAGTACAGTTAATCACTTTAAACATATTGAATCCGAACTACAACTCGATGATAAATTACTTCATGACCATTACTCCAGAAAAGGAGCAATTGATCTTGTAGGCAACATTGCACATTCGCTGTTTGGAGTATTGGACTCAGAATATGCCAAAGGAATGTCAAATATCATTTCAGAAGTGAAACAAAATAAAGTGCAATTATTGACGTTATTTAAAAATCAAACATCAGTTGTCGATTCAACGATCAACATAATAAGTAAAGATAAAATTGCAGTTCAAGAAGATATTGAGCTCATTAACAATGAAATAAAGGGACTGCTGAATTTCATAGTGGATACAAATAGAGAGGCAAATCAAGTACGGTTTAATCAAGTTCTCAATGCAGGAGCCATCCAACTAACACTGGTTGCACACAATCTACAGAAGATACAATCATGGAAAAGTGAATCCGCAACACCAACACAATTACAAAAGGAAGTCAATCAAATCAAACTTCACTTATCGCCATCATTAGAATTACCGATCACATAGCAACATGCAGTTTTTAGTATAACACTGCCCTTGATTGAACATGAACGATTTGAATTGTTTCAACTAATTCCAATCCCGAACTGGTTAA